ATCATACTGTCTTCGACATCGCAACTGTATCTCTGTAATAACCTACTGTGGAGGCATCCTAAATTTATCACGATTTTGTCCCATTTTTGTCATTATGATGGGATACACATTGGAGAACACTATTTGCAGATAAAGAACTAAATTACGTACCATTTTCATCATTTTTGCAGCTTTTGGTGCAAAACCACCAAGTGCATCTCCCGCTTTTCCTCTAGCAACCAACGACCTACAATTTTTCGTATGAGTCGAGCATACCTTTATGAATCTTGTGTGCGAGGACATACCGAAATTTATTGTGCATCCTAAGAAACATCTTTCTAGCTTCATCAGTCATTTCGTTGGTGAGGTTGCAGTGAGGATTCGATGAGTGCCTGTCTGCACATGCAGCTGCATTTAGAAATGTCTGAAACATCCCCAATAATCGATAGTAATATATATTAAGTTTAATAAGAGGCCTGAAAACTCACGAAGAACACGATCACCGTTAAAGAGAACATTGTTCAGTTATGTCCGCTCCGTTCTGGGGCCTTTATACTACCCTATGTTTCTGATGTCCAGTGTGTAAACAACGGCGCAAGCAACTTTTGTAGGCATATCGATCGAGACCAAACTGATTTAAGATTTTTGTGCACAGCGCATCGTGTTTATGAAGCAAATCATTACACGTCAAGTCCAGCAGCCAATCGAGGACCGCTTCCTGTCACTGTGTTGTTAACCAGCGGTTGCTTTTTCAGTGAAGACTATTCAAGAAACTGCTTGTATATTTGTCATTCTATTTTTTTATATGCTGTCTAAACTATAGCCACGTAGCGTGGGTTGCCGGCTTTATCATCATTCGTCATCACGGTTTGCCGTTGTTCTTGTTCGTCCTGATCCTGACCGGAGCTTTGAGGTATGGACGGAAGGATTGGTAATCGCTGTAAGGCTGCCGTCCCTGACAGTTCATATATTCCGCAGCTGGACATCGCCAATGAGTATTGAAGGATAACCCGCAGGAACTCGAAGATTGCTAGGCTCGTGTATTGCTCAAAACACAATGGCAAATCTATCATTCAATCAAATACCGGAAGAACCTAATCACGTAGGAGCTTGCTCGTTGTTTTGAGTACACTTTTACTTCCTTTGTCAATGGAAGATAAGATGCTGTCTACTTGTGTTCTATTATGTATCAGTTATTAGTATAATATGCACATCTATTCATGTCGCATTCTCTAGTGTGCAGCCTGTAGAGTGTGAATGCCTAGACGTAGCATAATCCTTACTATATATAAGGCGTATGTCTGTCTGTCTACCTATCTACCTATCTGTTTGTTTGTTTGATTGTTTGTTTGTTTGTTTGTCTGTTTGTACGGAAACTTTTTGAAAACCTGAAGAAGCACCTGCAGATGTCGTGTTAAGTTTAAGATGGGTTGGGCAAGACCAAAAGAGCACAGCGGAGCTCAGCCCACTGCGCTCACGCGCTCACGAGTGGTGGTGCCATGAGGTAGATCTCTTTGACGAGTTCTGCACCAGGGTGGGTGGGGCTAAGATCAGAAATTCATTACTGTCTTCAAAAACGTTCTAGAATGCGGGAAGAACCTGGATAAAGGAATGGAAGAAATGTAGCCATTTAACCATAGTGGGCGGGGTTTGCACTAAGGTAGGCGGGCTTAGATCAAAAATCCACAACAATGTTCGAAAACAATTTAGAATGTGTGAACAAATTGCTCAGTGGCAATAGGGGAAATGTGACCGAATCTCTGAAGTGGGTCACAATTTTGCTCCAAAAAGTCCAGACAGGAAAAACTGGCAAAAGTTAGGAATACGTCAACAAATCAGGTGAAAGAGACTGAGGCGTGGTTCGCCAAGTGCTCCCAAATTTAACTCATAATCCACCACAGATTGTAACGTATACTACGGATGGAATTCTGATCGAAAAATTCATCCTGTTTGACGCATTCTTTGTTGTGTCGTTGTTATACGGGGCCCAACTGGCTGTGCTTATTCTTTAACAATACATACGTACGCCGTGACTAGATGTAGGAGACAATGTTAGAGGTGACGTAGGAACATGGAGTAGGCCCGAGCGTAGCCGTAGGATCCCAGGATCCTCCACTCTGGTGGTCATTTATGTAACATGCGTCGGAGCTAAGCCTTCAATGCCGTTTGGCAGGCAATCGAGCAGGTTCAGCGCAGTCACTCCTATTTTTGCACTAACAACGGCGCAGCAGGCCCCTCTTAACTCTTCATGTGGCATAATACAGTGCGTTTCATAATTATAAGGTCATCCTCATATTTCGCAATTTCTGAAGAAGCAATGATTCAGGATTTCTTCTAGCATCATGAACGGATCCCTAAGCACGATTAACCTAGGTATCCGTTTTCAGTAGCAGCTGCATTTTTCTGAACTTTTTTAGAACAGTTTACCGGGTTTTGGACCGTTTCATTATTATAAGGTCGCCCTGAGGAAGTGAAAAATTATTCATGGAGGAGAGGATATTTGTGTGTGAAGATACTTATAAAGGTAAGCATGTGTAGCAAATGCATTTCTAGACTTAACTGTCAACATGGCTCGTGGTCGTCTGCTTTCGTCTGAAGAGAAAGCTCAATTTGGGCTCTTCATGAAGCTGTGCTCGGTATGCGAGCCATCCGAGCAAACTGGGATATCCCTGCTCCATTCAAAGATTTCTGCAGAGCGCTGATGTCCCTAGATGTAACACCACCTGAGTAAGGTTACTGCCCGTGACGAGTTGAAGATTCTGAGGACTGTTTCCAACTGTACGTCCACCTTGAACCAGATCCGATCAGAATTAAACCTCTCTGTGTCGAAAACTACATTCTGTAGGACAGTAAGAACATCACCAGGCAAGCAATGAAGAAAGCGCCCTGAATCACCGATCACCACAGAGAGGCTCTACTCGAATTTGCAAAGATGAACCTAGGGAGAGTTTGGGCGAAGGTAGGTCCTCATCACAATCTTACCATACAGCTGAATATTTTCCATTCAGGTTGTCTTTTCGGATGGAAAGAAATTCAACTTGAACGGTCATGACGGAAACAAGTACTACTGGCACGACTTGAGGAAGGAACCAGTCTATTTCAGCCGTCGCAATTTAGGTGGAGCAAGTCTTATGGTGTGGGGTGCATACTGCAATGATGTCGCGTTGAATCTATCCTTCGTGAGCTGCAGAATGGGTTCCAAAAATTACCAGAACGTCTTGGAGCATCATCTAGCACCCTTTCTAAGCCGTGGCCGTCACCTCAAATATGTCTTTCAACAAAACAACGCCTCCATCCACGTGAGCCGTGCAATGATTGAGTGGCTGCAACGCCAAAACATAAGCGTTCTGCCATGGGCAGCCTGCAGTTCCGATCTCAATCCGATGAAAAATACCTGGGATATAGTAGTGAGGCAGGTTTATGCGAATAACCGTCAGTTCCAGAGCACAGAAGAGCTAAAGCGGGCGATTATCGGAGCATAAAAAGCAATCGATGAGGAATATCTCCAAAACATAGTTTCTAGTATGCCACTGAACCACTCACCGTAGCTTTGTGGATTCTTCGAAACCAACCAGCAATCGACGATAA